TCAATAACTTTGCCACGTCTTGGCGATACTGATCTGGTATTCCTTCTGTACTTCTCTTTAGCAAATCCCTCAAATGTTCCGGAACTTTTCCATCACCAACAGTGGTGTACTTGGGGACTTCTTGTACTTCACTTGTATCTATAACGGTCATCATAGCGATTGGTGTGTTCTTCTTTATTACTTTGTTGGAAGTAGATGGGTTGAATACTCTAACAGGCACTAACTCCTCCCCTGTCTTGATTAGAGTTCTAGCTGTAATGAGTCCTTTCTTCACTAATTGTTGTTGAACATTTCCAGCCTCTATTAAACCTAGGGTGTTAGATTTAATTCGATCTCCTTCCTTCATTGATCCAAGTATTACAGCTTCATGTCCTGCGGGGATTGTAGTAGTTTCTGACGCAGTTATGCGGCAGGATAGCCTTTCTCCACTTTCATTCTTGCACTCTACTTTGCCCCATTTTGTGGTGAGTTGGAAATTAGTCAGATCAATGCTAGCCCCCATTCTTGTTAGATTGTCCAAGCCGAGGATTCCATCACTACTCACATCTGCTACCAAAACTGTAATTACTCCTTTATTTGGTCCTATCTTCATCTCATGAGTTATTGCTCCATAAATGGCTAATGGTGAACCATCTGCTAACTGTGCACTTATGCTACGATGTTGCAGAGGGGGTCTATCTTTTTCATCTAATTGTTCATATGATCGTCTGGAAATGTAAGAATCTGAAGCACCAGTATCAACTAGAAATTTGTATTCCTTGTCCTGAATGTGCACTGGAACATAAAGACCATCAACATTTTGATTTATACTGGGTATGAAACTTGTCTTTGTTTTGCTAGTTTGGGTCTCAATTAATTTTGGACGATTGGCCGCGCCACGACCCTTTGGGGCGACCACTTGTCGTTTGACTGACGCTGGTATCTTTGTCTTGACCAGTTAGATTCATCACTTGGATAGTTCCTTCCTCTTCGATCCATTTGTTTCTCACGGCATTCTCTTGCGAAATGGCCAGGTTTCTCACAATAGAAACATGTTTGGGTTTTCACATCAAATCTTCCTTGCGCTGTTTGACTTGGTCTTTGATTAGTTCCTGGTTTCTTCACATATCCCTGACATCTTTCCTTGTTAGGTTGACTTTCCATAGCTTGGCCTAGGACTTTGTTGACTTCATCTTTGATCATCTTCTCTAGATCCACTTCAGAGCCGATTCCTCTATTGTAAGTAGGCTTAACCTTCCATCCATTCCTCTCAGTCTCCGTCTGTAGAAATGTCTCAGTGGTTATTGCTGCTTGAATTACCTCATCTAAGCTTGTTGCCTTTGCATGAAATATTCCCATACGAATCTCACTACTACGAATAGCATCAGTAAAATGAATCCTAGCTAGTCTATCGACCCCTTGACTTTCAAAGTTTGGATATGCCTTATCAGTTAGTTCCCTAATATGACGTCCTAGTTCCTGAAGTGATTCTCCTTGTCGTCGCTTACGATTCCTTAGTTCCAACAGATAGCTTTCTGCCTGTTTGGCAGAAGAGAACCTGAATGACAGTTTACTCTTTATTTCTTCAAAGTTCCACTTGGTGCCTCTTTGTTCTTCTAGTAATCTCAGAGCTTGACCTCTCAAGCTAGCAGCTAGATACTTGGCAGATTCCTCATCTTTCCAGTTGTTGATTTCGCAACAAGATTCAAAATGCGAGGCGTAGTCTTTCCAGTCGGTACTTCCATCATACTTGTCCGGCATGATCAGTGGTCGATGAGTAGTTTCCCGAATTCTATCTTCTTTGGCATAGCGAATGTCATCATTCCTCTTTTGTGTTTTCATCTGGTTAGTTTCTTCCTCAAGTTTCCTCGTCTTTGATTCATCGACATGAGATATTCCTTCCTCGTCTCCATGTTGGACTTCCATTCCTATCAGTCGTCTATTTGGTTTGGAGTTGAATTCCACTTCATCATCTGAAGAATCAGATAGTTCTTCCGTGGTGGAGTCTGGGCCAGCACGCCTCTTCCTTGGTTTCTTTTTCAACTTCATCATTTGCCCCATTAACTTCGTTAGTTGGCTTAATATCCGACTTTGTAATTTCTCTGACCTACTCTTCTTTTTCTTTGAACTTTTTGTACTAGACATTGTCTCATCTGAGGAGCAACTTAGCTCATCTATTTCTTTCTTAGACTTTGGTACCTCCGCCATATTAATAATCCCACTTCTGACACCAAATTTGTGGCGGCCGCCCCCGCCTCCGTCTCCCACCTCGACCTCTACGTCGGGATTATTCTCATTCCCAGCTGGGGAAACTGATTCTTTACATCTGTCAGGATATTCGTCAGCCGACATTATTTATAATGTATGTCCGAGCGGTTAGAGTAATTAGATCTTATCTTTTATTTGAGGAAAGACGGGGGAAGCTACAATACTTATTTACGTTCGTTTCGTCGAAATATACGACTTATGACGGAGTACCAGTCAAGAAGAAAGACAAAGTGTTTATAGACTCATAATTTAAGTTTCAAGACAAAAGAAAATGGTCAACTTTTATTAATGCATGTACTTCAAATATTTACATCTTTATATCACCACTGTCACAAATACCTTGTGCTTATAGTTATACTTAATAAATTTATACGATTGTCGTTATTATATTCGAATACATGTAATAAAGTGAAGGGCAATGATTCATTGGGATTTATGGGACTTGGGAGTTTTCCTCTTAGTTTAATTCCATAGCATCATAGGGGGAGAGGTGGACTTAGAATATTCCTGCATTAGTGGTTCATTAATTCCAGCATCTTAATTCCAGCGTAGACTTCCTTGTGTACCTTTATATTCCAGGGAGGGAGAGAGATCTTATGTGTGGTACCAGTTCCGACGAGCGCCCAATTCCAAGACAAGTCCTTAGGTGGGGGGGGGGGGGGGGGATTTCCAGGGAGAGACTAAATAGTTCTGATTCCGACGAGCGTCTAATTCCCTCTCCTCACGTTTCAGAAATGTTACGGGTTATAAAGGCATAATGCGGACGTGGGGGAAATCGATGCGCTAAGCGATCTTGGAAAGCACACGCGCAGCGAAAATGGACCTAACATGAAGACTGTGCTAGTTCAGAGCAAAATATCTAAGTAAATCTCTTATTTTACCATTAATTATATACAACACTCTGAATGACATAGTTGCAGTAAATATTAACAAGTTACATTGTCTAAACAACTTTCCTTCCAAATTCATGTGATATATTGATAAACAATTACAGTTTAACATCTTAAAGCATCTCAATAATGGATCCAAATGTCAATCGCTCGTATGCAAATTATTAACGTAAACATTGTGCGTCGGTGTATGATGACGCGCTTGAAAACAACAATCATTTAAGTTAGGCCTCTTTGTTACGTCACGACCGCGGAGCGGATCGTTACAGTAGCTTCTCTCTTGCTGATCAAAGATGGGCAGGTGCAAGTGCATTATATACTTGTAAGCATATCATATACTACACATGTGAGTCAATCTGCATAATGCATACCCCATTCCCAGGCATTATCAATCATGGACAATGTAGCCGTAATAAAAGGTACAAAATAAGAAGAAAAAAGCATCACAAATACCACTATACTATTCAAGTATCCAGAATGACAGGTCGATGCTCAATATTTTGAAAAGGAGGGGGCTAAAAGCACAAAGAGGAGGGGTTAGAAGTCAGATGGCAATTATTGAAAAGGAGATAAGTGTGGAAGGTGAAGGAACATGGCTAGCATATATGGATCTCCACAGGCTGTTACAGCTACTACATGTACATGTAGTACTGAAATACGAGTGAAGATACACTAAGCAAGAAAATAGAAAAGAGTATCAGAGATGGAGGAAGGGCATCAGAGGAAGGGAATAAAAGTAGAAGAGGTAGGAGTGGAAGAAAAGGGAGAAAACAAGGGGAGGGGAAAAAGGGGAGACAGAGAAGGAGGGAGGGGAAAGGGAAGTAAGAGGAGCCAGAGATGCAAAAGAAGGAAAAGAGAGAGAAGTAGGGAGCAAGATGGGAGGGGAGAAATGGGAGAGAGGAGAGAAGAAAGAGTGAATGAGAGAGGGAAGGGGGAGAAGGAAGGAGCATGGGGGTAGAGGTGGAAGAGAGAGAAAGGGATGAGAGAAAAGATAAGGGAGAGATGATAACATGATAAAGAAGAGATAGTGAATAAGAGAGGAGGAAGGAGGAAGGTAGACAAGGAGGGGAAGAAGGAAAAGAAAGAAGAGTAGAAGAGACATTGCATTAACTGTCTACGCTGTGGCTATAAAAGCATCGTTCGTGGTAACAATTATCAGCTACTCATATATCATTCATCTCTTATAATTAATACAATTTCCATGATCATCATGCAACAAAACCTTACACACAAACACACTCATATCCCCACCCCTGGCCCCATTACCAGCATCATCTAGACTTACCCATAAAATCTTTCTCTCTCCTGCTAGGTTTTTATCATTTGTCACGGATGAAGCTTCTATTTTATCTCTTGAAACATAACTTATGTAAGCCATACTAAATGCTTTTTGTGAGGCTGTCATATATGGAGGATATTAAATCTTTTGATCCATACTTCTGGTGTATTCTGCATACATTATAAAGCTCATATATTGATCTAACACGAAGATGCTCAATTCTAGTGGAGTAGACAAGCGTGCTGTCTTGTCTTTCCGCGAGCCATTGCGTTATTTCAAGTTAAGTGTGGTTCTTATTGTATATTGTATATAACATCTTGTATGACTTATACAAATAAAAACGAAGAAGGGCGAAAAAGAAGACGAAGAAGAAGACAAAGGAGAAGAAGACAAAGAAGAAGAAGACAAAGAAGAAGAATAAACAAAGATTTACATTTAGAAAAGTCTATTTTCTAACAATGCCTGATCATGAGAAAAAAGGGGGAAATTTATGCATGATGGCTATATATATATTTATCAATGACAAATGAGGTATCCATACAGGTTTTGTCCTATTTCGTGTGGCTGAATGTTCACAAACCTACCTTTGATACTTGTGCACATCTACACAGGCTGACTACATCAAGATACGAAAATACCCTGCAAAACAGAAAGAGAAACAAAATAGCAAAATCATGGGGGATTCATCAAGAAACACAGTGATAAGGATGTTTAACATATTATGTATGTAATCATTGTAAATGACTAGGGGCGTGTTTATGCTTCACTTTTTCTGGCCAGAATCAAGCATCTGTTACGCGTTTAGTTTAAAACACGGTTGCGACCATGCTCACTTTTGTAGAATCACCGAAAAACGGCGATCATGATCGCCGATCGTAAACTCACAAAAATATGCGTTTACAATTTGTAAACGTGTTTAAATGGGGTCAACGCACTGACCTCTAGTGGGTCTACTTTGCATGCACAGTGAAGGTTTGCGAATCCAGCTGGAAGACCAATTAAGGCCACACAGGGAGAATTGCCTGGAGGAGCCTACCTGAGAAGTGAGCATAAACAGTACACCGTGGAACTGCGATTACGATGAGCGTTTACGATGAGCGTTACAAATCGCTCATTCTGCCTTCAAAAGGGAAGCATAAACACGCCCTAGGATACATCTATGTGAACCCGAGTTAGATTCCTTAAATATGACCCCCAAACAGGAAATGTAATTACTTTAATACTGGAACTTTTTTTAACAAGAAGATGTAAATCATAATATAAACAGTGTAATATATCAACAGTACACATCTGTTGTTTGACTGTTTTGGTAAGATACTGTTTTATAGATACATAGTTATATCTTTCTCCAAGAATATGATAATTTTCCTACCTAAGTATATCTTCCTTAGGTAACCTTTGGTTAATCATAGCCTCCTCTTCCGTCCGAATCTGAATAAGAACAATGAAACACAGAAAGAATGTTTATGCTTATATTCATGTACATATGTACTTGTAGATTGTGAATATTCTGATTTATCTGTACTGTGACCTTATTACAAATTGCATTTTCCTGAACTCATGCTACAATATTCAACCAAGATTTAACCACATCGATGCACTTCCACTGGCCTTCTAAGACAAAAGGAAAATATGACTTTTTACATTACTTTTTCATCACATTTCTTTTACACCTACTACTGTACATGTCAGTGTACATTCATGAACTCAGAAAGATTTTACATTCATAAACTCAGAAAGATTTGACATTCAATGAACATGATCACAGCAATAAGGAGAAACCAGTACAAGACAACAAATTCAAAACCATTGTGTTACAGACTACAATGCATGAAAATAAACCAAACAAAAGACTATAAATATAACAACCAGAGTCATACTATTCTTTTAATAGAATCATGAGCGTTACATGTACATGTATCCTTGGCACACATTCAGGATTGGCATCTATTGTTGCAGCAATGTAAATTTATCTACCTGAGGAACCTAGGTCTAGGAAAAACAATCATTCTGGTATAATGCTGATCTCTACCTTCTTTTTCATTATATTAGAAATTAACTAGATGGAATTTTGACTGCGCGCAGTCGAAAATGATGCCTCCGCCATAGAGCAATTTAAACAAGTTTGGAGTTTAAATCTCCAGTGGTTCTTGAGATATCATGATAACAATCTCAATGTATGGAATTTCATAAGTTGACCTCTGTGACCCTTGACCTTTGACCTACGTGCTCCAAAATCTAATCAGATTGTCTTCCTATGGTGATACACACTATCATTAAGTTTGAAGTTTAAATCTCCAGTGGTTCTTGAGATATTATGATAACAATCTCAATGTATGGAATTTCATAAGTTGACCTCTGTGACCCTTGACCTTTGACCTACGTGCTCCAAAATCTAGTCAGATCGTCTTCCTATGGTGATACATACTATCCTTAAGTTTGAAGTTTTTACATCTCCAGTGGTTCTTGAGATATCATGATAACAATCTCAATGTATGGAATTTCATAAGTTGACCTCTATGACCCTTGACCTTTGACCTACGTGCTCCAAAATGTAATCAGATTGTTTTCCTATAGTGATACACACTATCACTAAGTTTGAAGTTTAAATCTCCAGTGGTTCTTGAGATATCATGATAACAATCTCAATGTATGGAATTTCATAAGTTGACCTCTGTGACCCTTGACCTTTGACATACGTGCTCCAAAATCTAATCAGATCGTCTTCCTATGGTGATACATACTATCCTTAAGTTTGAAGTTTAAATCTCAAATGGTTCTTGAGATATCGCGCTAACAAACTCAATACAAGGAATTTCATAAGTTGACCTCTGTGACCTGTGACCTTTGACCTACGTACTCCAAAATCTAATCAGATTGTCTTCCTATGGTGATAAATACTATTCCCGAGTCTTAAGTTTAAATCTTAAATGGTTCTTGAGATATTGTGATAACGGTCAAACGGGACGGACGGACGGACGGACGGACGGACGTACGGACGGACGGACGTACGGACGGACGGACGTACGGACGGACAACCCGAAAACATGATGCCTCCGGCACCACCTTCGGTGGCGGAGGCATAAAAATAAAATACTATTGAAGATTGATTGACAGTGGTGGAAATGATAATAATATCATTACATATACTACTGCTACAACTATTACTACTACAACTACTAATCATCATAATAACAATATTTTGATGAGGATTATGTTGATGAGAATAATAATAAAAATACTAAAATAATTAATAATAAATAGAAAGTAATAATAATAATAATAATGATATTTATAATAATAACAATATAATAAAATTGATAAAGTAATAATAATTTATAATAAATTTTGATAAGAACTACCATAGATTTGTATAATAATTATAATAATAATAATGATAACATTAATATTAATAATAATCCTCATCATTATCGATCATGATGAAGATAAAATTAAAGGGAAAAGAAAGGCCTACGTCATTCATATGAAACTAAACTGTACATTGAATATTTTACGCCTACATGTATACATCCATGTACAGCAAAACTCATACTTCTTTGTTGGATTTGATCAACAAAGTAACTTCACAAAGGCCTTCCATAAATAATTGCTTAGGAACAGCTGAGTTGGCATACCAGAGTGGGTGCAGATTACAGCTATACCGTGTATTTATGCAACCTGGCCCTAGAGGGGTCCTCGACTGCATAGAGGCCGCTATAGGTATGCTCAACACGTATGGCCTCAAATGAACTTTCTAGTAACCTGGCATGAACCTGAGCATTTACTTTGTGCAACCTAAGCCTTCCACACCTATGTTTCCATGTTTGCATTCATTCACAATTTCACATAAATGCGTAATTCATGTTTGTGTACGTGCAGAGATACAGCTTCCATAAAGCAACAAGGCAAAAAAGAGCCTGCACATTCCTAATGTCTTACATTGTACATGTACAGGTGTACATGTACCGGCTTATAAACATCAATCATGTATATTAATGCTAGGATGGAAGGGTACATAGAAACGCACAATAATTGCCTCACAGGATTACCTTCAAAAAAATGTCTAATACATGCACATACATGAAGAAAGTAATTAGGATGCATGAAGCCACATTACTTCATATACATATGTATTCGTATGTTATGGTATGTTGGCAATAACTATAGACCTACATGTTCATGTATGAGTGAACAGTGTATGTATGTAACCACGCTGCATGATGAAACAACAGATAATATGAAGGAAAATACTACATCAAATAAATATTTTATGTATTTTCATTTTCATTATTTTGAGTGGATAATTATTTTTTTAAAAGGTGATAAAACAAGGAAGGGCTTAGATTCATTGTAATATTCTGTACATTGTATTGAGAAAGAGCTCATAATACACATCTGTAATGTATATCTTATCCTGTGTTTGAAGATTTTACTGATTCAGTCATGGAGGCCAAGTTCATGTTGTAAAATACTGTATACCGGTACATGTCCTAGTTTCATGCTACATGTATAAGGTTAAACTTCAATACAAACTGAGGCAGTATAAATCAGCACTCAGACATACAATAATATATGTACATGTATAGCACACGATGGAACGGAATCTAACATCGAAAAAAGGCTCATCCCAATTTTCTAGACCATTTTGGGGTATGAAAACCCATTCCCGTTCCTTGTGTAACCATGAATGTTAATTCAAACAAAGAACATTTCAAACTATAGACTAGTGATTTATTTTGTCTGCAAGTGTAGATAAATATTACTAATATACATGTTCAATATGTAGGTTCTTTGCAAGCTTTTATTTTCCAATTCATAGAAATCATATTTGAAAAATCAAATTCTATAATTATTATTGAATTATTAACAGGAAGTGCATTAAATGTTCTCAAATAATGAGGTGATGATATATTCCTTTGTTAAAAGCTAATCTTCCTTCACTCCATTGTGATGTGTTTATAAACAGCTTGAAATGTGATGAGCACTTCCTTTTGCCAACCTCAAATGTGTATCTTGAGAGACCACAAATAAATTGTTGCCACTGGGAGTCCAAACTATTTCTGGTTGTGACTCAGATGTATGAACAATTGAAACAGATTGACATGTGGGGCAAAGAGCACAAAGAGAATGAGCAAGGAATAAAGTGAGTGAGTGAGAGAGAGATAAAGAGAGACAGACAGAGAGAGACAGAGAGAGACAGAGAGAGGGAGAGACAGAGAGACAGACAGAGAGGGAGGGCGGAAGAGCACGAGAGAGAGAGAAAGACAGAGAGAGAGAGAGAGACAAAGAATCCACATGAACATAGGATACATTTTTTTTAAACCTTGTGCACTCTTGGTATAGTAACAAGAATGAGACAGAAAGGTAGCTAAAGAGAGAGTAAAAGAGAGAGTAAAAAAAAGGAATGCGAGAGAGAGAGATCAGAAGAAACCAACATTTAGCACGTACATGTACATGTACATGTAAATGTACTGTTAAAAAAAGGTGACAAAGATATTTGTAAAATAATATATGGAAAGAGTTACATGTAGATGGACAAACAAGGAGACATAGAGAAACAGAGAGAGAGAGAGAGAGAGAGAGAGAGAAATAGAGAGAGAGAGAGAGAGAGAGAGAGAGAACGAAAAGAAGAGATGGACTGCGGGCAAGAGCATGTAGAGCCAGTTAAACAAATAACATGAGAACAAAGAGAGGATGAAAACACAAAGATACTCAAAACATGTACATGAGCAGAGTGCATTACATGTACATCGTATAAAGGTCACTTTGTCATAGGACAAAGGTTTATTGAAAATTGCTGCATGTAATATCCTCAAAACCTATAAACAATTTCATACAAATTTAGGTTTAAACATAGTGCATCAGAAGTGATCTAAACCCCTCAAAAAGGTTCTGCAGTTCAAGTTTTAGCATTGAAATCTCTTTTGTTAATGTATAATCACATTTGGTGTTGGTATCAGTGAATAGCCTGTTTATTCCCTTTTCAATTTTGCCCCATTTGTAATGATCATTGAATGTGCAGTACATCTGAATATAGGGCCAAGTCAAAAGTGAAATGTTGCAAATTGTTATTGTCAATAGTGGATTCTTTATTTGTTTGGGGATGGACTGTGTTTTGAAGGAATAAAAATGCATTTTGCAACTTTTCACTTTCGTTTTCGCCTCCCATTCAGGTGTACTGCACATAAAAGGGGCATCACTGAAAAGGGGTTATAAACTGGTTTTTCAATGATACCAACATCAAGCATGATGATACACCAACTAGAGAGGTAATGTATCAACATTAAAACTTGAATAGGCCATTTTCGTACTGTAATCAAATTTAATGCATAAGTCTTTCTTAAATGCCTCATTACCAATTGTTTCATTCACCTGTTACGAATAAATCTATTTCAATAGTCAGAATGTGAATCGAGTACATTAGTCATTGC